TGTTTATCACTCTAAAGATTGCATGATAACAATTGTTACATTGAACTCGCTCAACTTTTGAATTTTGACTACTGCGAGAATACACGTTCGTAATCCTACTCAAATGCCTTTTGATTTACGTTGTGGATGTCAAGCAATCACAACGTTAGGACACAATAATAAACGCGAAGAAGTACTAGGATATACGTGTACGCCAGTTTGGTCAAACAGAGTAACACAACACTTTGTCTCTACCATGGCCATCATAAATGGTCAATTTTCTCAAAAGTGATTATCCTATTACTTTACTTATCCTAAGTTCTTGTTTATTTCTGTTATATTTACATTTTTTTAAAATCCTATTACCACTACTATGTTTTTATCCAAACTTCCCATCTGTCTTGTTATTACTATATTTTTAATCCCTAATTGCACAAAAAGGTGAATTTTCCAGGTAATTATGATCCTACTATGTTGTTATCCGATCTTCCTGTTTATAGTCTCAATGTGAAACTCCCAAGGCCTACTCAAAAACTTAAAATATTGTCCATTTGATAGCAATGATGTTCTTAATGGTTATCAGCAAGTGATTGAACTACTCAAAAATCGGTATTGTGCAATTCTTAGGATTTTAGACAAAGACTTTGAAACTTGAAGATATCACACAGCTCATGGTTTCAAACCACGAATATCTTTGAAGTTTATCTAAATTAGTGGAAATCTATTTTAACAGAATGGGGTTGCTAGCCTCATGCCCAACCTTTCCTCTTTACCAGCATTATTTCTGGCTCAGTGAGGTAAAGGAGTGCGCCGGCCTGGGATCGAACCCCGGACCATATGCATGGTCGGCTAGCGTGCTATACCGCGTCGGTGGTATAGCGGTTAGCACGCTAGCCGACCATGCATATGGTCCGGGGTTCGATCCCAGGCCGGCGCACTCCTTTACCTCACTGAGCCAGAAATAATGCTGGTAAAGAGGAAAGGTTGGGCATGAGGCTAGCAACCCCATTCTGTAAAAATTAAACACTGCTACAGAAACTTCAAGCCTCTAGCTTGGAGCCCTATGTTCCACTGGGAACGTGAAGGAAAAATTATAGTGGAAATCTAGACTAAGAAATATTGAAGGTAAGTTTAGAAAAGTAGACAGAAAAATAGAGTCAATCAATTTACCTATGAGTCTTCAACAAGTAAGATTATCGATACCTGTGTTACACACACTTATTATCTATCTTCTCCAACGAGTAGTGTTGATTAAAACCAAATGAATTTGATGCAACTGCATCGGATCGATTCATAATGGCCACCAGCCTGTTGGAATAAGATGGTGTAACAGAAGAAGTCAATAGACTTAGTAAAAGAATACTTACTTGGTATTTAGTATATGTCTGTAGCGAAATTCTGTACACCATACCTGAAAATCGTCATTCGTACAAATTTTCCCTGTTGTGCTGCTTCTGTCCTTCCTATTGTGTTTCTTTGTCTCCTTTTCGCGTCTCCCTACTGTATTTTCCGCAAGGCTGGTTCATTTGCTGTCTTTGACGTCAAATCTATCTATCTGGTATTTGATATTTTTATGCTGATAAACGTCTCTTCATTTACTGTTGATAAATCTCATCAGCAGCACACGCCACAGTGGGAGTTTAGAGCCCTCAATACATCATTTGTTGGGTGACGCGGGTTCGAATCCCAGAAGAGACATGAGTTCCTTCAAGGTTGCAGATACGCCTTGCTGACGAGTGCAAATTAGCACGAAACTTAGGTATAAGGCTTCCTGTGGCCGATTTCCTCCAACTATCTAACATAAGTTACTAGACAGTCATAATAAGTGCACATTTTAAACTGTGAAATGTAAATTTGAGTGAATGAACGATTTTTCGCCTAGTGGTATAAAGTATATCTCTTGGGCATTTAAATTTATCAGAATAAATATATATATATATATCAAAGTTCTTGTTTACTCCTTTAATTTTGTTTAAACAACTTAGCAATATGACCGTTGTTTTCAAGGGACTTTATACATCTTGTAATCAGTACTGTTATTTTTAATTCCTCATTAATTTATCACAAGACTGACCTCTTAGAATTGGATATGTTGTTGGTTGAAGTATATTACTATGTTTTCTGAAGTTGATAGTACGTACCTAACTTTTCTAACTCATTAAACCTCTTCAGCTCGAAATAAAACCTTACAGGCTGACTCAGCATCTTTCTGTGATTCATCATTATTACACTAATCACTCTTACTGTATATATTATACAGACGTTCTGTGGAAGTTCCCTTACTCACTCCTCTACTATAGGCTTCTCTTTAGTAGTTATATTCACCGAGAAGAAATATTATATAGTGGAGGTATGAAGACAGTCTTAATCACGGGAATATTTCAATTATCGGTCAACAATGTGACTTACCATTAATAATCAGCAATTTGGGAATTTCAAAAGCGACTGCATAAATAACAGGAATTCATTTTTCAATCAGTTTATTCTAACCATCGTTATTTTTGCTGTGAAGTGTGAAAATTTGAACTGGTGCATTTTTGTACACACCTCAGAGTTGGTATGTCTGTCTCTTTTAAACAGATAGCAGTTAATTACCGATTATAGATTATAATAAAGTAGGGCAATTTGGAGTACTGTTTGTGTATATTATTAACCTTGATCAGGTAATACTGTTATTCATTCATTCTTTGCGTCCCGAGTGGAAAATGGGACCGCAGAGACGCATGACTATTTCAGTCATTTCTCAGACATCACATTCAGCTGGCTCCCCAACTACCAACAAACTTTTTTATCTCTTCTCTAGACAATCCCCTTCACGTTACCCTCGGATGTTCAACTCACCACTTCCCATTTGGGTTCATCTCGACGGCCTGCTTAGAATCGAATGTTGCTAAGAGATTTCCTGAGCATATTTCCAGTCCATCTCTGTTCTCTTCTTCATATTTATCAGGCAAAAGGTTCTTAGCTTGCTAGATTCCCTTGGTGTTAACCCTTTATACAAGGTCGTCCGATCTTTACTATTCAGAGGAGTCGGCTACACATGGAAGCCTTTTGAGTATGCTTCAGGTGACTCACACACCAAGTCCCTGAAATATATAGAAGCACTGAACTGACATTAGTGTTAGACATACAGATATTGTTCTTTATGTTAAGTGCTGCAGATTTCCACATCACTTTCAGAGTAAGGAATATCTGACTGGTTTCCCCGATCCTGCCTTCATCATTCTTATCCGTCCCGTATGTAGTGAAAGGGCTGTTTTCCTTTAAATTTCTACTCTACGTCCAACCGAATTCCTGTCTTTCCTCTCGCTTCTATCAACTCGTTGGTGCATCTTCAAGTTTGTGCAACATCAGACAGAAGTCATGTGAGTGAAATCCAATCTGATGAAATTATCGCTCATGTAATTCTCGTCAACCTAATTAAAATTTCTAACAGTCTTCACAGATTTCACAAACTGTTTCTGTTTATTATTTCTGGATAAAAGGCAGATCACAAATCCTCAAAATGCATCGTACATCTTCGAATAACTCAAGAAGTAAACTTCCATACTCGACTAGAAATTTGTCAGTTGACATATATATATATATATATATATATATATATATATATATATATATATATATATACAAACACACACAGTCTCATGCTTTTCGTCAAGAATGAATGTGTGACTACTAGTCACTTTCTGTGAAGCAGTTTACACTTAAATTGAATGACTAACTTTACATATCCTCTATAAAAATAAGATTATAAAATATGTGTATTCAATGAGCAGTTGTTCATTTTTCTCCAATAAGTATTTCCAACTATTTTCATTAATTACCACTCAACCGCTTTCAATCAATCAACCAGACAGACAGGTCAATAGGTGATAGTCTGATGCGATCTTATCGATCACACTCACGCTCTTTACTACTTTGCTATAAAAAGTCAATATCGATCTACTATTTTTTTGTCACTGGACAGTAATTTGAGTTCTGTGACAGACAACTGGGATATTTGATAAAGCATAAATCAGAAACCAAAGACGTCAGGTGATGCTATTAAAAGCCATCACCAACTGAAGATCAGTTCACCTATCATTCTATCTATATTGTTGAATAGCTTGTTATACTATTATTCTGTACTTACCCGCCTTTAGCTAATCTTTACTTTTGAACACTGTTTTTCATTTCTATGCTTCTGTATCATTGTCAATTTTCATAGTATCGAAGGCAGAAACGACTTAAATGAAGGAAATAATAGGGTAAGGTGTTGGTCATATTGTTGATATGCTGCACTATGCCCAATTACTCATTTAATCAATGAGCTACCTGAGATGTAAGTAATGATGACATAATGCTAATCGTTGAGACTCGGTTATTTAGGAATGTGCTCTGATGATCAGTATATCTAAACAGAATCAAGAAGATTATGTGCAGTACAGATCATAAGACTTATCTGTATAGTATGACCAAACTACCAACTCTGAGAATGTGAGTGTTACCAGTACATTAAAAGGAGCACAAAATGGCGTCCAAGCCTGGTTGGATGAGTACCCACTAAAACAAAACTGAAAACACCTAAAACAATCACAAGCAGGTTAAAAATTTATTTAGTTGATGTGAAGTCAGTTCAATTCGATCTATTTGTTTCAATCCTAGGTTTATTTTCATGTCTTGGAAGGTGCACTCCAGTAGTCAGAATTACTTCGTAGTAGTCCCCAATAATACATAATATCTCCACTTCAGGTGCAAGAAATGAAAACTAATTAGATGAATTAATCCATGAAGTAAATGGATTTAATCAAAGGTAAAATAAGATCCAAATTGTGACGCCATTGCGCATTGTGTAAAACTTTTGGCTCAATGGGGGAAATGAACTTCTGACTAGAATAGTTCAGAGAAGAAATCAATTAGGTCAGACAAAGACTTTGCCATTTGCATGACCAATATAAAGACCTACATACAGTAGACAGTCGTATAACACTTGTTAACGTTATTTCCACTTCAGGCCTCCAAGAAAACGCGTTCACAATTCTTCAAGTAATGTAGGAATATGATCTTCTAGAGGTTATTGTGACTACACAGGCCAGTAGAAAGATTGACTGTGAGACAAAAAGATGTAAAACAAAGAAATAAAGACAACGTCCATTAAAACCAAGCAATAACATTCTAATCAATACTTTCTACTCACCTTTATCCACTTACTTAGTTACAGTATCCATAGGATTTCACCGAAAAAGGTTAATTTCCAGTCGTCATTTCATCACCTGAGGCTAATAATAAAACACATGTCCTAAGTATCTGTGCGCGAGCTTTTGGCTTTCTAAGAGACTTATACTAAAAGCAGACTTATTTTATCGATGAAATGCGTTCTCCTAGCAACAAAAGGAATGTTCTCAAGGATGTATCATCAAACCTTTGAGTTTTTACTAAAATTGAAGACACATACCTAAAGAAAATGATCGGTTATTTTGGCCTTTACAAGATATATGTGGATGGCAACTATATTATATCCAATGATAGAGAGAATTCCGAAGGTATTCTAGACTTCCTTCACAGATGTCACTCTGCAATCCAGTTCACATTAGACAAGGAATCTGATTCAAAAATATCCTCCTTATATATTCAACTCACAATACGTTGCAATTGAACACTGACAGAAACCATCAACAATAACGGAAAACTCAGTCATATGTGGATGCCTCTACACACCAGACGTAACGTCATCATTTCAGTCAGTCACACAATCAGAAACATCAGCAGTTTTGACACCATGAGAGAATATCAGGACGCTTTAAACAAGAATCTCATTGAAAATGGCTACCATGAACACCACATCACAAAATCCATGTAGCCCACACCACAAAACCACACACAACTCCTGTCACCGAAATACTTATCAGTCTGAATCTGAAATTCAGTGGAGAACGATTAGGAAAAGCATTATAAAATCGTTGATCTCGTTCGTTGAGGAGAACCTTCTCCACAGGTGAACTTCCAATCAATCCTCCTACAAAATCAGTCATTCAAATGGACGTGAAGCATAAGCTACCACTTCGCGACTTCTGAATGTGTATCTGTTAATTCACCCTCCCCCTGCAGTGAAGTATGTCGGCCGTACTCAGCGTTTACCACACAAACATATCATCGGACAGTAACCGTGATCGCCTAACAGGACATCAATTAGTTATGCCTTTGAAACACTAATGTGAGAGTTGTGGATCATACCACAGCACAGAAATCTACATTTAACGTACAAAGTAGAGATTTTCAATTTGAAAATATAATGCATTCTGTAGACAGGCACTTCTAAACAATCCTAAACACACAGTCCACTAAATGATCACCACCATACATAACTAACTTCACATAAACAGATTGTTGATTCATCTTAAAAAATTATTTAGGTGCGCAGCTGAAGCCCTATGTTCCTCTAGGAACTAAAGGATACAATAATAATAATAATAATCAATATTTCACAAAAATGAAACTGAATCACATGTGACATTTCTTAACTTATGTAAGCTGCATATTTTTTTACATGCATTAGAATTGTTTATGTTTCTCAAATACATTAGTTCCATAAAAGTGCTCTAATCTTTGAGTCAAATGACACGATATTCTAATAGAGTTTAGTCAATTCAGTGAATTTTAGTCAAGTACAGTATTTCACTGCCTACAGGCTAACTTGGTGTACAGCTTATTGGCTTGTCTACTGGACTTTGAGTCGGTCAAGAGTGGGGGTGAGTCCCACTGGGTAGTGTTACAAGTGACTTAGAAACATGTACTGCTTTAAAATATTCAGTTGTACTTTACAGACGACCTCTTGGGCTGTCATATCCACAAATCCAAAGGCAGAATTCATAACTCTGAAATAATGCAAGAGATACTGAGCACAGGTGGTTGGTTCTGATCTGGCTGGATAAGTCAACTGTGAAGATCTCATTACTCATCTAGACATCTACAGCTATTACTTCGCTATGAAGTGAGTCTTCCAGAATTCAACATCAACGGCACAATTATCTTTCTATTTGTGTAAATTTGTATTCATTTCGATCAATTCGCTGACCTAGTATTCGACCTCTTGACCACATGGTTTGTTCTCTTTCTGTTTATTGACTGATAAGTTTTATCTGTCTATGTCAGTGTATCTGATGAGTGAAGAGTGATCTGATTACCAGGCTTCTAGGAATTCTGTCATTTTCGATGCCTCCACTGTTCACAATTTCCATATTCTTCCTGTCAAATTGGTGTCCATAACTGTCTATTTATACTGATATGGAGGAATACATGTCACGGTTTTCAGCGGCTAGTTTATGTTACTCGATTCGAAGATAACCTCAGAAATAGTGCTTCCCGTGACTGATACAATTTAATTTGTAAATAGCGCTAACCTTGTCTTCTTTTGCTGTTGGGCATTTTGGTCTGAATAGTACTGAATGAATGAATCTCCTGGTTTGTGCATGATATCTACTCAAAACAGTTTTAGTACTCTAATCATTATTTCAGACACATTATTTATGGTAGGATGAACTCTCTTCCTGGTAGTTTAGTTAGAGTTGAGATATGCTTCAATGAAACTGTGGGTGGTATTTATGTTTACTGAAGACAGGTAATAGATGCTTCTGTTCTTCCACCTCCAAAACTGACGTTTCCAATCTTCTTAACATAATATAACTATCCAGTCTCAAGATGAAATCTCTTCATACATGCTACATTCACATTCTTCGTCATGTTTATTTACTAGTTTAGACATGCTAGTGAGACACTTGCATTTAAACCTGTGCGTGACAACCTTTCAGTGTACCCCACCACTATTATTATTGTATCCTTTAGTTCCTAGAGGAACATAGGGCTTCAGCTGCGCACCTCCATTGACTTCGGTTTTCTGACAACTTTTTCACCCTGCTCCAGGTCTGCCCACATGCTTTCATCTCCTCTTCACATGACCTCCTCCAAGTCACCCTTGGACGACCAACTCGCCGCCTCCCTTTCGGGTTCCACTCGAGGGCTTGTCTAGTGATGTCACTTGTTGGTTTCCTCAGCGTATGGCCAATCCATCTCCATTTCTTTCTGCCTATTTGTTTCACAATCGGTTCCTGATTGGTTCGCTCCCAGAGATCCCTGTTGCTGATCTTTTCTGGCCATCTGATCTTGAGTATTGAGCGGAGACAGTTGTTAATGAAGGTTTGAAGTTTGTTTGAGATGCTCTTTATGACTCGCCAAGTCTCTGATCCGTATAGTAGCACTGACTTCACATTGGAGTTGAAAATCCGGATCTTATTTTTGATGCTGATTGCTGTTGACCTCCACACAGATTTGAGAGTAATGAAAGCTTGTCTTGCTTTTCCGATTCTGGCTTTGATGTCTTCGTCAGTTCCGCCTGTAGTTGAGACGATGCTTCCCAGGTAGGTGAAGGAGGTTGTTTCTTTCAGGTTCTTCCCATTTATGCTTATTGTGGTCTGTTGTTGCTGTTGATGTTGGCAAGGAATCTTCATCACCTCTGTTTTATCTATGTTCACGTGAAGTCCTATCTTTGATGCTTCTTCTGCCAACTTGTTACTTTTCATTTGCATATCTTCCAGTTTATGGGAAATCAGGCATATATCATCGGCGAAATCCAGATCCTCCAAGTCTTTTGTGTCAGTCCATTTTATGCCTGTTCCCTCGTTGGTTGCCGTTGTCTGTCGCATTATCCAATCAATTGCAATCAGGAAGATCATTGGTGATAGTAGACAGCCTTGCCTCACTCCCGTCCTCACTTCGAAGGCTTCCGTAAGTTTCCCGTTGTGGATTACTTGGCATGCAGCATTGTCGTATAACTGTTGGATGAGGTGTATACCCCACCACTGGGTCCATGAAATATCAATCACCTATATCCAAGAAACCGACTAATCACAATTCAATTCCTATTTTCAACAAATCAGTTGAAAATGATTATTATTTTCAGGGATTTCTGAAAACGACATACTGAAGTAAAGAACTAGTTGAAATGCCTTCAGCCGATGAGTTGTTCACAATATTAGCTCATTTGAAGTGTCTATACAACTCATGGTATTTATAGGATATCAACTGGGAAGCAATAAGGGGAACTCAAATTAGAAGACCAATGATAACAACTGGTTAATCAATGCAAACTACATATAATGAGATTTGAATGTAGGACCGAATAGTCGAGAGTTTTGCTTAAAGCCGTAAGCCACAGACGCAAATGATCAGCTATGACAGTATTCAATAACTTGCGATTGTCACCTTTGCCAACGGTGATTTATCAAGGGAGTAAATACATTGAGTAGTAGCTCACACATTTCTACTCTAAGACTCGGTAACATGACTGCTGATATGCAAACACTTCAGGTTTCCGGATTTTCAACTCCAATGTAAAGTCAGTGCTACTTTACGGATCAGAGACCTGGCGAGTCATAAAGAGCATCTCAAACAAACTTCAGACCTTCATTAACAGCTGTCTTCGCTCAATACTAAATATCAGATGGCCAGAAAAGATCAGCAACAGGGATCTCTGGGAGCGAACCAATCAGGAACCGACTGTGAAACAAATAGGCAGGAAGAAATGGAGATGGATTGGCCATACTCTGAGGAAACAATCAAGTGACATTACTAGACAAGCCATTGCTCGAGTGGAACCCGAAAGGGAGGCGGCGAGTTGGTCGTCCAAGGGTGACTTGGAGGAGGTCATGCGAGGAGGAGATGAAAGCATATGGACAGGCCTGGAGCGGGGTGAAAAAGTTGGCAGAAAACAGAAGGCAATGGAGGTGCACAGCTGAAGCCCTATGTTCCTCTAGGAACTAAAGGATACAATAATAATAATAATAATAAAAATAATGCACACTCCTAAGAATATTTACTTGATGCCTAGGAATATTTAATGCACATCTTTGCAACGTTTCACCTTATTCTAGGCATATAGCACTCAGGATACATCATTATCCACGATCTGATAATCACGCACTTCCAACAATACACGAAGACCAATTCAGTGATAACCGTCTTCATTGCCAGATGATGAACAAAGCTGCTTAATCAGTGGTCTAGTCAATAAAAAGCTAGGCGGTTAAATCAAGATTAGGTAGGAATCAGCTGAAGTCATCATTCAATTCACTTTCCGTGATATTACAAGTGTGGCCCATTGCCTGAAGCACTACACTCCCGGCAAATTCATCTCATGTCCAAAGTCTCGCTCCACCTACCTTAGCTTCAGTAGTATCATCAGCCTCCACAAAATAACTGTGACCCATAGCCTAGAATACGAAGCGTCAGTTCCGAGTAGCTGACTGCAAACACGGTACCAGCAGTCGTATAGAATAAGATTGAGAGACTCTATTCACTCTGTGGGTTCCCATAACCTTGAGGCACAAGTGGTCAAACAAAATATGAAATCAATCCATCAAGTCTATGATCTAAGCCACGAAGAAAGGTGAAGACTGCCTCAGGTCCCCGACATGCTCACAGCCAGTGACTCAAGACTGTTCGTGACACGACTGAAAATGGTTTTCAAGGGTGGATATGCATTCACTACTTCCAATCTCCTAGATCCATTAAACTTCCATTCTTCTTCTTCTCTCTCCCCTACATTCACGTTTGTCGCAGTTTCTTCTCCAAACTCTAATCTTTGTTTTATCCAGTGTGACAACTTCGATCGTCACACTTCCGTGCAAACTTCTACCTTGAAAACTCAGTCAGAACCGTGAGTAGCTTATTTTCGTTTATTTCGTGAGAAATCGTACACCTTAGTCGATCCTCGTCTTCCCTTGTCTCTTAACACTTTTCTCAATATTCTCTTCCTGTGCTATCATGCAATGCTTCTCAATGCGAGCAATTGACATTTCTCAGAAGTTGTCTGTTGTAAACCATTTCCACTGTATATACACGCACACACACGCACAATAGATTCCAATGATGTAACAAGGCATTCTAAGTAACATACTAAGCATTCGTTCAGAAATAGAAAGAATAAAATACAACCACAACGAATTAAACCCTCAATTTTTCGACCCACACCAACTTTATTCCTCTAAAAAAGACATAACACTTTATAAAAACTCCAGTACTATATTATCAAAATATTTTGTTGAATCACTTTCAAATCAACAAATATACATATACATAAATGAAAACTGAGAAAGCAATGAAAAAAGTCAGACGCTCGTCTCACGAAAAGACTATAAAGCTTGCACAGATACAAAGTGAGCAGAAATCCAATGTTTGGAAGTAAGTTCATAAAAACTACATTTTGCACATATGATCACGGTAACTGAGAGCATTTTTTCATGAAGGAAAGAATAAGTTGCTGTCACATACAGTTAACAAAATGAAAACGCGTTATGCAATGCACATGATCTAGCTGCTGGCTCTCGACCACAGAATAAACAAAAATTCGCGAATAAATCAATACATCTACACTAAAACTAATGAATTAGCACTAAATAACTCTCTCTTTCTCTCTTTACAAATATATATGCTATAGCTGTGGCGTGTAATACAAGATATATATAAGTAGAATAATAGATGCAGCGGAGAGATGAATTTAACGAAGAATGCTTGTGAAACAACGTGGAACACATGAAAGGAAGATACAACCGGATGTTGTGGTGTTTCCCATCTATATAGTAGTTATAAATCTTGTCACTGACACACACCACACAACTACTAGAAAGTATAACTCCAAATTATCTTGTAATAAATTACACACATTTACATTTGTAAAGAAGAAGAATTAAATCACTTTGTGCGTGTACCAGCCTGCCCTTATTGAATAAACTCTATTTAAAAAGCATGCATACGATCTTTTCGATTCTGTTCCCGATAAGTCTTGATGACTGAATAGATAAATAGGATCAAGAGAACACCATTAACAGCAATAACAATAGATCCTTCGAGTACATAAGATGGCATAATATATACCTTTAGATGGCTTGTTACATTGCTATTTGTCTCAGGATCGAAGCACTGATATTCACCAGAATGCTGTACAGTAAGATTACTCATTGTCAGGATACCATTTTCATTGGCAAATCGACCATCTGCTGACTGATTACCATTTAGAAGAACTGTATCATCGTTCAGTATCCACTGTAGGTATGAAGCATGACTTGAGTTTTCTGTGGAACATTCAAAAATCCCAGATTCACCAACACGTAATGCTTGAGCGATAGGCGACACAGACAATTCTTCAGAAGCCACATAAACAACAATTCGCGTAACAGCCAAGTAAAGAGCAAACAGACAGCAGTCTAAGCGGAGCATTTATCAGATCTGTAGACAAAATGACAATAATTACACAAGCTTTAATAACACATCAAAATAATTATATAATGCACATAAGACATTTTTCCAAATCAATAAAAGTAATTATAAAAAAGCATGAACTCAACCTGGTGTCAGTTTTTCACCTATACACACTTAACATAGTCAATTGCAAAAAAGGAATATATTTCCACACTTCTAAAGTTTGAAACGTAAAATGTACAAAAGAAGCAGAAAATCACAGTGAACAGGCTTTCGATAAGGAGAAAATCCTAGACAACAAATTTTAGCTTCGCGTGTAGCAGATGCATGATAAAATAAAAACCCGTAATACACTTAAATAAAACCTGTAGTCAGTTGCTACCACATACTGCATCTCTCCTTCGTTTCAGTTACTGCAGTAACTACACTCTACACAGAAAGACTGATGTGCTGAAAGAAATAACTCCGCTTTCTTTGCCCCGTGAAGACTGATTCTCTATCTAGAACATAAACACACACACACACACACACAATATTCTTGTTAGTCGAAAGCGCTGGTAAGACATACTGGCTTGGTATGTACTTCATACCCGTAAAATATACGATAAATGTAGAAACCCTCAAAACTGACTCAAGAGTATCTTGCACTAAATTACACATATTTACATGGATAAAAATGAATTAAATCAGTCTTTGGATGTATGTTGTACTTATACAGGACCCAAGTACTGTTACTCATTCAACTCCTCATAAGCAATACGCTGAATCTACAGAATTCACCACACAGGTATCAGGCGATTTATTGGTTAGTTCTTGTGGACTTTATGTTGTAGGGATAGCACTGAGCTTCAAGAAAGAGAAACATCACTGCTTGACTGAACCCGAGTGGACAGTTGTGTGTTGTTCCGTAGAATGGGTTTGTATGGATAGGGAATGATAATGATATTTGTCGATCTGACTGCAAGTCTGATAATAGGCACCGTCTTCTGAATCTTTGAGCAGATTCTAACACATCTTTAGCCAATACCAACTTTCGCTAGCAATCTCCGTAACGCTTCCTAACGTCTTCCTGTCATTAAAGTCCAGAACCAAATGCAACCTGATGATCGGGATTGTATGTCGCAATGACCCGAGTCGCACTACCTATAACGAATCTCGCTGCAGATTCTATCATGGTAACAGAGACTAAAAGCTGTCACTACCTCAGGGTAAATAGCTTGTCCAATCAAGCTGATGTGACAACGATAGGCATATTACAGCACACGGTATTTCCTTCGGGTAACTAATAAGTCAGCTATGCTGCTATCCCAAATCAGCTTACGTTTATCCATAGTTATCATCTAGATGAGTACCGACACTCTTATTTGGAGCTGGGAGTTATTTATACAACGTTTCAAGGCAAGGAACCTATCTAGTATTCCCGTACTTTTTTAAACGCTTAAACTAGCCTGATTTTCTCTATTATTAACTGTTTCAAAGTCTCTTGCATCACTAGCCATTAACTTCAACGGTTTCATTCATTGTTAACTGTATGGAAATGCAGGTTGTTGTTGAGTAACTGGACTGAATTTAAACATGAGTACAGCAGTCCAAGTTGCCACATTTTATGAAGCACACAGAACTAAAGGAAAACTATAAATAAGCCGTAATAAACGGAAATGCACGAAAGGAAGAACTAAACAGAGAATGTGATGGATCCAAGAGTTTATAAATAGTGAATGCATCTGCGTCACTGAGAACGATTTTTAACCATATCACCAACAGCCTCCAACCACTAGTATTTAGCGTTTGAGGGACCCAACCACCCTGCACCTGTATGCGTGACTCAAACCAACAGTCAAAGACTTCATGGATTAATATCACGTCTTTAATTAACTACCTCAAAATCCTTTCCAACATAATCTTATGTCAGCCTACATTTCTCGATAAGTTAGGTGGCCGTTCGTCAGTTTCACAGCCTCAACGATTGACTTTCCTTTCTTACCTAACACTACTCTTAACCTCGTTATTGTGAAGATGGAACTCATTAGCTTAGGCACACAGGCTTCTGGTCAGTGGATTTCAGGTTTGAGTCCTGCTTCGCCTCTTTTAGCCTAGACAACTGGGTAGTACCACCTATCCCCATAGAGTCAGTGTGCTTTTGGTTTGGTACACGGACCTCAATATTGCTCACCATATTATCACACCTAACAAGATATAGGACGCAAGAATCAGTGGTCAGAGATAACTGACCTCTTCATATCTACCACTTCCAATGGCCGAACCTCGCAGCCATAAAGGGCGCAGCCAACTACTGCACAGTACACACATCTTTTGTTCAATCGCTTGGAACCACATCTACGCCAAAGATGATTATCTGAAGAGGTGAAAAATGGGTCACTATTGCCGACTTGGTGCGAAACTCCACAAATGCCACCAAAACACTTTTTGCCTATCACAGCTTCATGCTACTAAACAGTGCATTTTCCCTTACTTCTGTGACCACCACCAGCTGTCTCAGCCAGAGAAACACCATTCCATGTCTCATAAAAACTTCCCCGTGACCACCGACATAGGACCAGCAATGGAGACAATCAAACCATCTAGACACACGTTATCAACAGAGAATAAGGGTGGAATATTGCTGCTACTCCAAGAACACCTGCCTTGACTCCGGTAATTCATCAATCTGCTTATGACTGGACGAACACGGAAAAGAAGCAGATGTTAGTGTTTCAAGTGTCAAACTTTTAGATGTGAACAGTATTCACTCGTGCATGGTTTTCAGTAAGAATAGAAACTTTTACACTCATGTATACCTTTCATGATTAAGTAACCGAGCTAGCATATCCGGGCCCATTGCAAACACTTCGGCCAAAGATAAACATAGAGTACATTAAAGAAAGCAGGAAAGTTGTCTGCACTGTACCCTAAGTCTCTCCAGAAGGTATGTAGTGCACCCAAGTGTGGTTATTCACCTAACCCCACCTGGCCAACAGGTTGAATCTGCAAAATTCACCTTGAGGGTGTCAGGAGATGCCACAGCTAGTTCACGAGGATTAGCTGGTGTAGGGATAGCTTTGAGTACTAGGGCAGAAAAGTTATTGCTTGACTGGATCCCGGTAGATAGCCGAATGTGTGCTGTCCGCCTGAACGGATCAGTAAGAAGGAGGAAGGACTGCACTACTCGCCGATGCCTTTTCGTAATCTCCGCCTACGCCCCCACTGACTGCAGTTCAGATGAAACGAAGGATGAGTTCTACCAAAAGCTGTCTAGTTTGGTGGAAAGGCTAAACGCTCAGACATAGTCGTTCTAGCTGGTGACTTTAATGCTCAAGTAGGGAAATTGTGTCAATCTGAGAAGGATGTCGGTGGCACCTATGGAGCTCCGTGCCAGCGAACCGACAACGGTGACCGTCTCCTACAGTTCTGCTCTGATAATCATTTGTTTCTTGTAAGCACTAACTTTAAACACAAGGAAAGACACTGTTTGACTTGGAGACCCCCTTCATCAAACCAACGCTGGACACAAATAGACCACATAGCAATAAGCTATCGTTGGCGTGGGTCGGTAGGAGATTGTCGCTCCTTCTGGAACACGTGCGTAGATACCGACCATGCACTGGTCCGCGCTCGGGTGTGCTTACGACTGAACGGACGTAGGAAACAGCTGGCGGTAAAACCATCACGTCCCCAGCTCGATCAGGAAACTAAATCCGTATTTCAGGAAGAACTAGCTAAACACATATCTGTGTTCGACAGCTGTGCTCACCCTGAAGAAGCTTGGAAAAATATCCAGGCAGCCATAGATACAGCTGTAAAAGCTGTGAATAAGGTAAACCCAAAGGTGAGTAAAAACCACTGGATCTCCACCGCCTCATCCGAACTGATAGATGCTAGAAGACTTATTCCGGCGAGCTCCGAATTCAATGAGGAGCGAAAGCTGCACAAGAGGAAACTTACGAAAAGTCTCCGCAAGGACCGTGAACAGTGGTGGGCGACAAAAGCCAAAGAGATGGAGAAAGCTTTGAGGATAGGCAACACCAGGCAACTCTTTGGACTCATCAGGGAAACGGGTGGGAGAAGACAAATCATTAGTGAGACAATCTCGGAAAAAAATGGCACTATAATTAGCTCACAGGATAGACGACTGGATCGTTGGAAAGAGCATTATGAGGAGCAGTTTAATTTGCCCACAGCCACGCTCAACCTTCCGAGCATCCAACACCTCCCTGAATGGGATATAGACACAGGTCCTCCGTCACTAACTGAGGTTACTAAAGCTGTCACCAATCTGAAACTAGGCAAAGCAGCGGGACCTGATGGAATGACGCCAGAGGTATTTAAGTACGGTGGAGACAGCTTACTGTCCGGATTAACTGAGGTACTAGGCAGCGTCTGGGAATCAGAAGAAGTCCCATCGGGTTGGTGTAAGTCACTGATTATCCCCATATACAAGAAGGGAGACAAGTCTTCCTGTGATAATCACAGAGGGATTAGCTTGACTAATATAGTATCTAAAGTCTTAGGCTCAATAATCATGCGTAGACTGAGTGGTGCTCGGGAAGCACAAACACGAGAGAGCCAGGCAGGCTTTAGACCAGGAAGAGGGTGTATTGATCATATCTTCACCCTCCGACAGATTCTAGAACATAGGCATTCCTACCGGCGTCCAACAGTCATTATATTTCTTGACCTAAAGGCAGCATTCGACTCTGTCGATCGGGAAGTTCTCTGGAGATGCTTGGCTGTAAAGGGAATTCCAAGAAAATATATTGCACTGATTAAGGCACTCTATTCGTACTCATACAGCCAGGTGAGGGCTTACGGCGAGCTGTCATCTGAACTGATGACGACCAGTGGTGTCCGTCAAGGATGCCCATTATCTCCTTTTCTATTCAACTTCATCATAGATGTGTTAATGGACTTAACCCTAGGTGACTTCAGCGACTCAGGGATTGACTTGCTACCGGGGAATAATCTCGTTGACTTGGAATATGCAGACGATATAGTCCTTCTAGGCGAAGACGCTGACGAAATGCAGAGTCTTCTAAACACCTTGAGCCGCAATCTACGAATGTTTGGCATGCGATTCGCTCCCGCCAAATGCAAGATGATGTTACAGGACTGGACTACATCGACGCCTAGTTTAAAAATAGGAAGTGAAGTGGTAGAGCACGTTGACCGCTTCACTTATTTGGGAAGTACCATCAGCCCCAACGGGCTGATCTCTGACGAAATCTCAGCACGAATACAAGGGGCTCGTTTCGCATTTGTTAGTTTACGCCGACTCTGGCGTAGACGAGATGTTCGACTATCGACCAAAGGGCGGGTGTACTGCTCATCAGTCCGCTCCGTCCTCCTTTATGGTTGTGAGACCTGGCCACTGAGAGTGGAAGACATGAAAAGACTAGCTGTCTTTGATCATAGGTGCCTGCGTTCTATTTCCCGTGTAAAGTGGCATAATAAGGTGAGCAACATGGAGGTTAGGCGTAGAGTTCTAGGTAAACAGGGGAAATCAATCGACGAAGTCGTGAAGCTACAAAGACTGAGATGGTTAGGACATGTGTTACGTATGCCAAGCCATCGCCTCCCTCGACGAGCAATGTTAGCGGATATAGGGTCAGGCTGGAAAAAAGCTAGCGGCGGTCAAACAAAAACTTGGCATCAGTCAATGAAATCCACAACAGTTGGTCTAAGCCACGTAGGAAGGTGTAGACTTCCAGGCTGGGGTCCTCGGGACGGTAAAAATCTATGGTTGGAAACAATTGGTGACATGGCTCAAAATCGTTCTCAGTGGCGCAGATGCATCCACTCCCTGTGACTTATGATCTTCAATGAAACTGTTTTGTATTTCTTTATTACTCCTTTGTCTCACACCTCTCCTCACTGTTTCTATTATGCTTTTCTTGTACTTTCTTATCTTGCTTCGCGTGCTACACAGAATGTGACGACTTGAACTTCCGCACATTTGTGCAAAGTTCTATGTCAAAAACAGACAGATAGTGGTATCTCACACCTTCCTTATGATAAGAGGATGGAGCATTTAAATCTCTTCCCGTTATCATACCGAAGGAAGAGAGGCGACTTAATTTTAGCAGACCGTATACTTAACGGTGATTTAGGAACTAACCTTTCTCACCTTTTCTCCCCTTCTAGGATACATTTACGGGGTCACCGCTAAAAAGGTGCTCAAACCAAGGACGATTAAAATACGTGCAGAATTTAGATTCTCTCACAGAGTGGTCAAGGATTGGAACACCTTACATGATTCAGTAGTATCAGCACCATCGGCAAACGCTTTCAAAGGGAAGTTAGATCTCTGCAGAGATATACATTCCAAGGATTAACACAGGCCACAAGAGCCTTCTATCCTTATCATCTGAATCTGTAGGTTGTGGAGGCCGAAACATATCAAATCACACGTTCATCGTAAAATAGTAGAAATAATGAATTCACTGCACATCACGGTTGTTAATTAAGATTGAATAAGGACACGAACTGGTTTACCGCGCAGTACGGACGACACAACTTTCCTCCCCAGCTTCTTGCTTTCCACTATTGCCAATCATATCTGACTTAGGTCAGACACATTAATATTTCTGACACAGGCGTGATTTGATTTGGAATGACATCTCATGGTATTCCCTGTGTATGGTTTGACCTTGAAGGTCAACTTCTGAAAGACGACTTTGGCTATGGTACTTTAATCTCGCCGGGAATAGTATTTTTCTGGTGGATTTAGGACCTAGAAGTAATCATAGTGCCCATATATCACAACTCTGAAAAATAACCGCTTAAAATTACAAAAAAGAGATCAGACAGCACCTCTCTGGTTTTACAACGGCAAAAATACCAGCAACGTACCAGTTAACAATGGGCGAGGATATACACTATAACCTGTTATATTTTCCGCGCCTCAGGTTTTCTCGTCTTTCATTGGCTAGAACACTGGCGGTCAATTGGATATTTGATTTGTCCTTGGTGGGTTCTATCGGGTGCTGTATTGTGTGGTTGTGTTATGCCTCGTTTGCCAGCAGATGTGATGAGTATAAATGTAAATTTTGACTATTCTAACGCTTTGTTTTTCAATGTTGTCCTTTTTACGAATTATTTTGAAATAGTTATGACATGGATGGATACTAATTGACAAATCCATTTTAGTTCGTTGCAGGTAGTCAACGCGAGTGAAAGCAGCGCAGACGTAAGTGGAATTTTTGATGAATTAATGCTTGGAAGGCATTTTTTTCAGCTGGGAGAAATTCGAGAAGTCATGAGGAGAATTTCAAAAAGTGAGGAAGCCACATAATTATTATTATTATATAAGCTTTATTCCAAATCAGTACTTGTGATACAGAATGGAATTCTCAGCATTTTACTACAATATTGCATCCAGTTTTTTGTTTACATCAACAATAAATAAAGTTCTACATAGTTTAAAGATTATCTCAACAACATATTAGTATGTCGGTAGCAAAGCCAAAATTAAAATGTTTGAAGGTGTTACAAAAGTAGATACTACTAGCATATTTACTGGCGTAAGCGATAGCAAAATGGTCGAGATATACAGAGTGTAAAAGAACGAACAAGAATGTTTTAAGTAGAGTTTGCAAGGAAGAGAGAAACAAAACAGCACATAACAAAAATAAATACAGAATGAAGAGAGAGAAAACGTTGTACCTATAAATGATGTGAGTTGGAAAGACGAGATTCATTGGTTCTAGTGACTATTTAATAAGTTAAAGGTTTCATGCCTGATGCATTCTTTATCACACAGAACACGGGCTAGGTAGGGTATGGATGAGTTTTTGTACTTACTAGTGCGAGCATATAGTTTCCTATATAGACTTCTTGTTTTCCCTGAAGAGATACATGGGGAGAGTTGTGAGTGTAGAGGGTGTTGTGAGTCAGATAAAATGGACTTCGCCCATTTTTCACATGAGTCCATGTGCCTGTCCACCAGAATGTTAACAAGCTGGCTAAGTGGCAAGCTGCTTACCCTGCTGACAACCTTTAACATCCTACGTAATAAGGTATAGTCTTTCTTCAATAGCCCAGGAAAGACTAAGGGGGAGCAATAGAGAATTATAGGCAGAATACGGGAGTTAACAAATTGTAGTAGTAAGGGTTGGGTTACACCAGAATGTCTTAACTTCTTGATGTAGAAGGTAAGACGGTATATTTTCTTGGAAATCGTCAAGATATGAGACGACCAGAAAAGATCAGAAGATAGAGTGACGCCTAGGTATTTAATTTCCGACTTAGTTTCTATTTCAGTGCCATCTATGTTGCACACCTCGTGAGCGCTAACCAGTTTGTTTAGGTCAGATTTATGCCTAAAGGTGAAATTAACTGTTTGGCATTTGGAGGGGTTTAAGGTTAGACCGTTTTCCTTGGACCATTGGCTAATTTCTGATAAGAAGCCATTTAGTTTAGAGCAGTCATTTTGACATTTGACAGGTAAAGATACAGTCAGGTCATCAGCATATTTGACAAAGTTAATATCATTTGAAGACGGTAGGTCATGTAGGAAGAATGAAAAGAGAAGTGGGGAGAGTACAGCACCTTGGGGGACACCAGATTCAGTGAGCACAGCAGAGGAGGATTGACCTTTGTATACGGTGTACTGCATTCTGTTTGAAAAGTAGGAATGCAACCACTTAGTGACCCAAGACTCGGTTTGTGTCGTGGAGAGCTTATTTAGCAAGAGACTTCTAGGTACAGAGTCGAAAGCAGAAGTGAAGTCAAGAAACGTGCAGCGGACATATTTGGCATCTTTGTCTAATGATGAGACAATACTGTTATGTAAGACGGCTGCAGCGTCTAAAGTACTCCTACCCTGTCTGTAGGCAAATTGTTTGGGGTCTTCGAAGCTTTTAAGGGAGGGTTCGAGTTTAAGAAGTATTAGTTTTTCCATGAGCTTTAGAAACGGGGAAGTGATGGCGATGGGTCTGAACTTTACGTTCTTGCTATTTCCAGGTTTAGGGACAGGGACTATTTTAATGTCTTTCCATGGAACAGGTACAACGTTTTCGGAGAAAGAAGCATTTAGTATATTAGTTAGAGGAGAACATAAAGCATCTGCACATTGTTTTAGGACATATGCAGGTATGCCATCAGGGCCAAGACTATGTGAGGGCTTAAGAGTTTTAAGACATTTCAAAACATCGAGAGTATTGAAGTCCTGGAAGTTATCAGCTACAAGATTGGTAACATTAGGAGTGGTTATGGTAGAAGGAGAGCGTATAAAAGACAGATTAAGAGCATTAACATCACAAGAGGGAAAAACATTACATCGCTTACTATTGCCAGTAATTTCATTGAAAAGTTTCCACATGCTGTTTGGAGATTTGCATGATAAAAGTGTTTGGTTATAGATAGCATTAAGATTCTTGATTTCAGATTTGATTTGAGCGTTTATCTTTTTAAGTCCTAACTTGTCTTTGCATTTATATAACATTTCTTTTTGCCTGCGAAGTTGTTTGAGATGGGGTGACGAGAAGCGGTCGAGGCGTTTGAACAGTGTTTGTTTGGGACAGCATATGTCAAGGCAGAACTTAAGATAGTCCGTTATATTGGCGATTGTATCATCTAATTTACTTTCATTAAATAAATCCCAGTTGGTATCTTTTAACATGCATCTTAGATTGAGTAAGTTGTCAGATGTGTAGCTTCTTTGTTGTGCCTTCGTGGACAGGTGTGAGAAGATTTTAATATGTGTTTTGCTGTATATTTTTGGCAAAACGCGGACAATGCAGTGATCGGAGTTATGCTAACAATGTAGTTGTCCTGCATTCACTATATTCATATTTATAGCAAAACAATAGCGGATGATAGATTAAAGTACGCTTACGTTGGTTTTAAATGCACTTTTGGAGTAAATCGTAGAAAAGCTGGGTTGAAATTGGAAAACAAGTCGTAAGAAGAAGCATACTATGATATTGTGAATATTTAAGGTCTAAATGTTGCAATTATCCGTCTTCATTTCGCGTGCTTTTGCGTAGTACTGAATACATAATTGCTTCTCAAAAAATGGTGCATAACCATCCCCATGCAGCAGGGTGTACATGCAGAATGACCTATGGTTTAGACGACTGACAGTGGAAGAGAAAGTGGACGTGGAACCACTTCTTCAGCAATCCCACTCATCCGATGAAATAATGATGCATGTTAAGGAAAAGTTCCACAAGGATATAACTCGTATTGACGTTAAAAATCTGAAAGCCACAGTTAATAAAGGTAACGTTGACGTACTTGTTAATTACTTAGGGTATGTCGAGCCGTAGTGACATTTCTCAATTCCTGAAATCCCGTGGGAAGTTAATGGAGTATTATTCAGATGAACCGATCAAGAATCCACTAACAAAGGTCTGTTTTTCAACTTATGGTCAAATTGAGTTGTATAAACAGTTCCCGGAGGTTGTTGGTATCGACTCTACATATAATACAAATAAAGGGAAGTAAGTTTACCAATTCATTGATCAACATGCAGGTATTCTTTGTTCCAATTAGTTGTAACGGATAATTTTGGTCGTGGGCGACCAGTTTTATTTGCTTGGTCTCGAAAGGAATTCAAACGTGATGTAGTTTGGATTTTGGACTCATTTCGTCAAATAATGGAAGATACCTCTAAAACGGAGACTTTCATTATGGACTGTGCGCAATCTGAAATAGCAGCAGTGAAGTTAACGCACAGGGAAGCGCACATTGTTCTGTGTTCTTTCCATGTTTGTCGAGCATTCTGTTGTAAAGTAAGTTTTTTAAAACAATCAAAATTTTAATTGCAGACATGGAATCCCATTGTGAAGAACTACTTATGCCGCTTAGTTCAGTGTAAAAGGAGATCAGAGTAATGCCTTTAATATTCTCATTTTCCAGATTCAATTTCTATTTCAGAGTTATAAGCAGATTGGATGTTAGTGTAGTGTTAGTCAATATATACAACGTCGTTAGATGCATCGACGAGAATTGTGGGCAGCATGTTTCAGAGACCACGTGCTGACTTTTGGGAATGATACAAATAATCGCGTCGAGAGCTCCCACAAGCAAATGAAACAGTACTTGCAAAGATCAGATAGTCTGCATAAAAGCATGCTGAAGGTGTATAAATGGTATGAACGAAGTTTTTCAAGAATACAACAGGAGGCGGTTATTGCTCAGTCGCGATGCTTCACTTATCCCTGTTCACAACGTCTAATCCCAATTATACGATTGCTGACGCCATACGCCGCGAGGAAGGTAATACGTGAATACCAATGGCGACGATGGGCTTCTGTTGAGGTTGAAGCCTTCGATTATGTATTCTTCCAAGACAATGGGAATAGAGTAGAGGTTGATCTGCGTGCTTGTACATGCACGCGCATGTACAAGCACGCAGATCAACCTCTACTCTATTCCCATTGTCTTGGAAGAATACATAATCGAAGGCTTCAACCTCAACAGAAGCCCATCGTCGCCATTGGTATTCACGTATTACCTTCCTCGCGGCGTATGGCGTCAGCAATCGTATAATTGGGATTAGACGTTGTGAACAGGGATAAGTGAAGCATCGCGACTGAGCAATAACCGCCTCCTGTTGTATTCTTGAAAAACTTCGTTCATACCATTTATACACCTTCAGCATGCTTTTATGCAGACTATCTGATCTTTGCAAGTACTGTTTCATTTGCTTGTGGGAGCTCTCGACGCGATTATTTGTATCATTCCCAAAAGTCAGCACGTGGTCTCTGAAACATGCTGCCCACAATTCTCGTCGATGCATCTAACGACGTTGTATATATTGACTAACACTACACTAACATCCAATCTGCTTATAACTCTGAAATAGAAATTGAATCTGGAAAATGAGAATATTAAAGGCATTACTCTGATCTCCTTTTACACTGAACTAAGCGGCATAAGTAGTTCTTCACAATGGGATTCCATGTCTGCAATTAAAATTTTGATTGTTTTAAAAAACTTACTTTACAACAGAATGCTCGACAAACATGGAAAGAACACAGAACAATGTGCGCTTCCCTGTGCGTTAACTTCACTGCTGCTATTTCAGATTGCGCACAGTCCATAATGAAAGTCTCCGTTTTAGAGGTATCTTCCATTATTTGACGAAATGAGTCCAAAATCCAAACTACATCACGTTTGAATTCCTTTCGAGACCAAGCAAATAAAACTGGTCGCCCACGACCAAAATTATCCGTTACAACTAATTGGAACAAAGAATACCTGCATGTTGATCAATGAATTGGTAAACTTACTTCCCTTTATTTGTATTATATGTAGAGTCGATACCAACAACCTCCGGGAACTGTTTATACAACTCAATTTGACCATAAGTTGAAAAACAGACCTTTGTTAGTGGATTCTTGATCGGTTCATCTGAATAATACTCCATTAACTTCCCACGGGATTTCAGGAATTGAGAAATGTCACTACGGCTCGACATACCCTAAGTAATTAACAAGTACGTCAACGTTACCTTTATTAACTGTGGCTTTCAGATTTTTAACGTCAATACGAGTTATATCCTTGTGGAACTTTTCCTTAACATGCATCATTATTTCATCGGATGAGTGGGATTGCTGAAGAAGTGGTTCCACGTCCACTTTCTCTTCCACTGTCAGTCGTCTAAACCATAGGTCATTCTGCATGTACACCCTGCTGCATGGGGATGGTTATGCACCATTTTTTGAGAAGCAATTATGTATTCAGTACTACGCAAAAGCACGCGAAATGAAGACGGATAATTGCAACATTTAGACCTTAAATATTCACAATATCATAGTATGCTTCTTCTTACGACTTGTTTTCCAATTTCAACCCAGCTTTTCTACGATTTACTCCAAAAGTGCATTTAAAACCAACGTAAGCGTACTTTAATCTATCATCCGCTATTGTTTTGCTATAAATATGAATATAGTGAATGCAGGACAACTACATTGTTAGCATAACTCCGATCACTGCATTGTCCGCGTTTTGCCAAAAATATACAGCAAAACACATATTAAAATCTTCTCACACCTGTCCACGAAGGCACAACAAAGAAGCTACACATCTGACAACTTACTCAATCTAAGATGCATGTTAAAAGATACCAACTGGGATTTATTTAATGAAAGTAAATTAGATGATACAATCGCCAATATAACGGACTATCTTAAGTTCTGCCTTGACATATGCTGTCCCAAACAAACACTGTTCAAACGCCTCGACCGCTTCTCGTCACCCCATCTCAAACAACTTCGCAGGCAAAAAGAAATGTTATATAAATGCAAAGACAAGTTAGGACTTAAAAAGATAAACGCTCAAATCAAATCTGAAATCAAGAATCTTAATGCTATCTATAACCAAACACTTTTATCATGCAAATCTCCAAACAGCATGTGGAAACTTTTCAATGAAATTACTGGCAATAGTAAGCGATGTAATGTTTTTCCCTCTTGTGATGTTAATGCTCTTAATCTGTCTTTTATACGCTCTCCTTCTACCATAACCACTCCTAATGTTACCAATCTTGTAGCTGATAACTTCCAGGACTTCAATACTCTCGATGTTTTGAAATGTCTTAAAACTCTTAAGCCCTCACATAGTCTTGGCCCTGATGGCATACCTGCATATGTCCTAAAACAATGTGCAGATGCTTTATGTTCTCCTCTAACTAATATACTAAATGCTTCTTTCTCCGAAAACGTTGTACCTGTTCCATGGAAAGACATTAAAATAGTCCCTGTCCCTAAACCTGGAAATAGCAAGAACGTAAAGTTCAGACCCATCGCCATCACTTCCCCGTTTCTAAAGCTCATGGAAAAACTAATACTTCTTAAACTCGAACCCTCCCTTAAAAGCTTCGAAGACCCCAAACAATTTGCCTACAGACAGGGTAGGAGTACTTTAGACGCTGCAGCCGTCTTACATAACAGTATTGTCTCATCATTAGACAAAGATGCCAAATATGTCCGCTGCACGTTTCTTGACTTCACTTCTGCTTTCGACTCTGTACCTAGAAGTCTCTTGCTAAATAAGCTCTCCACGACACAAACCGAGTCTTGGGTCACTAAGTGGTTGCATTCCTACTTTTCAAACAGAATGCAGTACACCGTATACAAAGGTCAATCCTCCTCTGCTGTGCTCACTGAATCTGGTGTCCCCCAAGGTGCTGTACTCTCCCCACTTCTCTTTTCATTCTTCCTACATGACCTACCGTCTTCAAATGATATTAACTTTGTCAAATATGCTGATGACCTGACTGTATCTTTACCTGTCAAATGTCAAAATGACTGCTCTAAACTAAATGGCTTCTTATCAGAAATTAGCCAATGGTCCAAGGAAAACGGTCTAACC